AAAGGCATTGGGAAAATGCCCTTAACATGCTTTAATTTTTGGTTAGCCCTGAAGTGGTCAGGTAGTTGGATTAAATGATTGTTGTAGGTCCCTTCCAACTGAAAATATTCTTCCAACTGAAAATATTCTATCCTATTCCATTGCCTCCAAATCTTACATGAGTCACTACAAAATTAGAGAGCTAAATCCAGAAATTTGTGTATTTGTTGGAAGCAAAAGTTTATGTTACCATATGAATTCTTCCCAAGCCTTTATATGTCAGCTTTGGTGTTGAGACTATATCTGAGCCTATCTGAAGCCATTACCTGCTATTACAATATATATATTTAACAATAACTGATGCCCATCACTGTTAAACATGATGTCTGAGTTTCAGAAATACACCAGCAACTGACTTGGCCTATGTTTAAAAATTCACAGAGGATTCGATAAAATGTATATTGTATAAGGAAAGGCTTACCAGTTCTATATAGGATTATTTAGGAGAAACTGGCACTGCTTAATGAAACAAAACATGGCCTTCTGGAGATATTTTATTTGGTGGAATCTTTTGGAGATATTCCATTCAGTGTTAACTTCAGTGATTTTGGATGAACTTTTACAATGACGGAAAATAACACAGCCTATTATACAAAGGGAATAGCACAAATAATTAACAGGCAACCAAGCATTTCAGATCACCACTAAGTCTGCCAAGAAAGGAGAAGGAAGATATATTAAAAACTCATGCAATGTTAGTCAGTAATAAAAACCTGTTCATTATTCTCCTTTCATTTTAAAGGCTAAACTTTTTGTTAGTATTCAGTATGGAGAGCTATGTGTTATATAATTCAGCCATTCTTTAAAATAACATTTATCTTAAAAGAACAGAGCTTGGCAGCTGCCCTTCTTCCTTCCCCAGAAAAAAAAAAACAAACCCACACAACTGGACTTCATTCCTCATCCAAAATAAGAGCACAGAGAAGTATGAAACAGAAATCAGCCTGAGCCAATGCAAAAACATCATAGAGCTCAGGAGGCAAAAAGATGGAATAGAAGAGAATAAATTCTGATACAAGCTTTCCCCAGATGCTCAAAAAGTGTCCTTAGGTCTTCCTAACTGATGGCCAGCTAGCCTGCTTTTACGTGGCTAAAGGAAGAAAATAATTCTTACCTCCTTTTCCCAAGCAAGGGAAATATAACAGTTCTAGCCAGCAAGAAAGCCAGTTATTAAGAGATTGCTAGCATAAAAATTAGACAGTCTGAAATATCTAGCAAAGGCAGGTAACAACAGTAATTTCACTGTTGAGCGGGCATAGGTCAGAGAGCCGATTCTGCCATCAGAAGATAAGAGACCATTTTTGAGATTTCCATTAAAAACACACAAGTTGGCAAACGTAAATATTCTAAAACAAATGTAAGAAGCTGTTCACTGTTTTGAAGTAACCTTTTAGAAAAAAAGGATTGAAAGCTTCTCATCTTTACACAAGCATTCAGCATCTGTGAATAAGGTGTTTGGCTTCTACCTGCAAACTAATTTACTCATTGTCTGGGGCGTGATCACAGGGCGACATACCTGTCCATGAAGTTTCCTGCTGGCCTGTTTCACTCCTCCTAATTAGCACTTAGCTTCGGTCCCTGCTCTGCCAACCTGTTACATGTAGAGGGATCAGAAAGCTTATCAGATGGAATGGAGCTGACTTAGCCATATGGGAGTTACATAGGTAGCATCTTAAATGGATAGAAAATGATGCAGGGAAAAGAAGCATTAGGAAGAAGCGACATAAAAGAGAAATCAAAAGGAATGTGGGAAATGGACTATTGGATAGAAGGAATGCATGAAAAGGAAGAGAGGAAAGGAAAAGAGTACAAAGGGAAGAAGAGAAACAATAGTAAGGAAACATTGTTTTATATTTGTCTCTAACCACGGAGTTGTTAGAGAATGGCAGGTTAATGCAGGGGATGCAATGGGGGACACTATGAAGCATACATCACATCAAATCACCTACAAAGCACTCTTAAATTATAAACGAGGCAAAAACCTCCATCACTTCCAGCACTAAACATGCTCTTCTCATGATCTGTGAAAGATTTCAGTCTCTGGAAAAGGAGGAAGGGGGAAGAAGAAGGGAAGCCTCAGTCATTGCCTTTCAATTGTGATTGTGGAATTAAGGCACTTGTATTGGTTATTGCCCAAGGTATAAAAGTAACTCAAATAAATGGTGAATTAGTTAGGAATAATAATGCTCAGTTAGCATACCCTTGCAAAGGCACAAAACAACCTCCTTACTCCTTAACGTTCTCTCGCCCGCCAGTCACAGTTCAAAACAATCTCTGCTTCAGTACAAGAACCTTGCTGATCATAATATGAGTTTAGATAAGAAGACTAACAGAAGAAAATAAACCCTATTATATCTAACTGAAACCCTAAATCTGGTAGTAAAACTTTTTCACAAATCCCTTTTCATTAAAGCATGCTGATTTCTCAAAACTGAACTAGTTCACAGGTACTTGATACCAAAACTCTTCAAACCCAAGAGAAAGGAGAGAAAATCCAGAGCTCCTAGAAGCTAAAAGCATAATTCCTATTCACAAATCATTCTGGGTATTTTGATTTTTTTTTTTGTAACTCAGGATTAAACCAAACTTCAAAACAACAACATATTTTGTCTCCATCCACATTGACTCTCAGCACCAGCGCTTCCTATAGCTAGTGGAGAATACACCCATACACTCAGGTCTAGGTGCCTGTGTCTAAGACCAGAGATCAAGAGGAACATCTTTAAGTAAATGGAAAAAAAACCCAAACAACAAGAAAACACAGAAAAGACTTTCAAACACACAGAACTAATAGGCTCAACATTCTTTATGTTAAATAACTAGTTAACTTCTGCATTCTGCTTTAACTATTGAAAATCTGGAAAGTGTGGGTATTTTTCCCCAAAAAATTTCCTGTCTGTAAATGGCCACATTCCATTCATCCTCCTGTGCTGCCACTTTATCCTTCTTTGTGATTTTGCTCCAATTCCTATCTACTTTTGTTTTCTTCTCCTCAAAGCACATATGAGACTTCAGGAGCTCCCACAAGATGTTCTCAAATTTCTCCGACCTTCTAAAACTCAGCATCATTTCTATCTGTCTCTTTCTGCAAGATCAAATATGTCAATAAAAATGGTTGTTAAGTATTGTTTTCTTCTGGATATGCCATGGTCTCTTCATTTGAGAAAAACTGATTTTAAAAAGGTCTTTAAGTCTCATGCTGCCCAAAATTAAGGCCTCTACCCCAATCAACAATAGATATTTTCTTCCGTGAAAAGATGTCATACATCACATATACAACTGCAACTATAATACAAAAAAAAAAAAAAAAAAAAAATCACATAGTATTCTCAAGGGATCATTTATGCATTGTTATACTCTGCTGCCCTTGTATTGTTGCCTACTAATTTATACCCTCTGTATCACATAAAATAAAAAAGCAGTATCAGTTATCTGTATCAGCTTCATCCTTTTCCATTAACCAGCTTTAATACTTATTTCCCAATTAATAGGTCTAGAATAATTTATTTGCTTTAAATATATTTTATATTTTTTCAGCTACAAAAGCCATTGAGAAAACTGCACATTGCTTAGTCTAGGAAAATTAGTTTAATAACAGATGCAACAAACTTACATTCCATAAATCCTGAAATAATACTGAAATTTGAACATTAAATTAGACTAAACAAATATACCCCATATTTTAAAGATGAAGAAGAACCTTGATAAGCATTTATGCAAGAAAATTAGTTTTTGTTGGGTTCTAAATTTCTCAGTATGCTAAATCAGAAAACACAAATTCTACAAACACAAAAGATATCAGATCTTAATTTCCTGTAACAGCAGCAAAGCGACACGTTCTTCAGTAATTTCATTTCAAGTAAAAAAGCTAATTTCAAATTTAGCCGTAGTAACTCTGCATGGTTTAACCTCTAATATTCAGGAAAGTAGTTCTGAGAAGCCTTTACAATTGCTTTAGATTTTAACAATGTTCTAAGACATCATCAGGACTTCTTATGAAAGTATGAATTTTCTTTAGCCTAGTAGTTTTGCTTTGAATTTGAAATAGCTATATATTTAAAAATTAAAAAAAAAGGTATGTAGTCTAATTTCCCAGTTATTTTGTGGTTAGATGATGTAGAACTTGCAATAGAGAACTGAGGTTAATCTTCTTTCCCAATGGGAGTGTCATCCTTGCTAAGGTCTACAATATAGTTAGTAGACCAGAAAAAACTGTTTTACAGAAATATCTGTCAAATTTGAAATAACAAAAAAACAATTCCTTGTTTTACAAGCTAAGAAAAAAGTCAACAGGGATGATGTTACAGTCACTATCTATGCCAATATACAATACACATTGCAGTATATCCACTGTACCAGAGTCAACAGGCACAATAAAAAGATGGACAAGGCCATGCTACTGACTTCCTTTAAAGCCACCCTTCCTTCCTGAGAACCATTTATCTTAATTTCTCTGGTTGTATGCAGTTCTTCTGGTGAATTCTCCCCGACCCAGCGATATTCCTTTATACTGGTGGACATGGCTCCAGAATATACCATGCTTTAATTGCACTAAAACAACACAAGTCAAAAACTTCACTGAAATTTTAATGTGTGAACATCCTTGAGACAGCAAAATAATCCCAGAGCTCGAATGAATGGCTGAAAGATTCACAGAACTCATACAGTCAGAAAAAATCGTTACTTATTTAGCTGTACATCATAGTACTCATGCAAACAAAACATGAGCTGATTCCTTGAAAACTACCACCATGGATTAATCTTAAATCACACATACTACAAATTAGATTGCAACTAGTTGAATTTAAGTAGTCTGAGAAACTGGAAAAGTAAGAACCAACGTTGCAAAGTAATCCTGACAAAAACAAAGGTTAGGTAGTAGATGGGAGGATGAGTGGGGAGGGAGGGTGAGAGTTTCATTTGAGACTGAAGGGAGAAAAATCCGTTTTTATGCTACTTACTCCTGTAGGCTGAAATATCAGTCCATCCACTTCATGGCTAACTTCTCTAGCAAAGCTTCCTTCCAGGAGCTGTAGAACAAAAGGAAAATAAATCTTTTTTCCACAGGGAAATATTTCACTGAGAAGACTGCACATCAAAGCAGATTATACGCTACTACTGCAATCATTTGCTAGTAAACTGCTTATTTATGGTTTCATATTAGAGCTTGGGAAATGTCAACACAGAAAGCTTCAACAAATTAGTAGTTTTTACACAGAAGACTGAAGGCTCAAACAAGTTTCAGGGAGGTAAACCCTTACAGTATTATTCAAGGAAAAAGCCTTTGTCCAAAAAGAAATATTGAGAAACGAAGGTGACTCTATACACTAAAAGATGAAGAAAAATCAGTTCTGTTATATACATACACACACACACACACACACACACACACACACAACACAACTGTGTGAATTAATTTGGACCTTGAATATTTTGTTCTACATTTTCAAAGACTGTGAATTCCATATGGAGATTAATATATCCATCAAGATTGTATTTAGCAGACAAAAACCATCTAACTGAACAAACTAATGAAACCAGTTAGTTGACAGTTATAAGAATTGATGATACACTTCCATGTTAAATTAGGACTTGCCTAAGGAAAAGCAAATAACCAGTGAGAACTACAATTGTCAAGTAATAACAAAAATTAAGAGAAGTAACAAAATGCCTCTTTATTAATTTCAATTTATGTTTTACTGTAGAGATGGAGACTCTATCCTGAAGTTGTAGGTGCTTTTAGTAACATCTGAAAAATGTTCATATATAAGTAAGCACGTGGTCATAAAACATAGGAAATATGGAATTCAGTAAATCACATCCAGTTTCAAAAGCAACATTTTGGCCTAGACTGTTAATTTTGTATCATTTCCTTTGTATAGTCCAACTTAACCCAATGACCCACTGACTAAATTACTCAAATCAAGTATCAAACTCTGTCCTTAGCAAACGGAAAAAGTATGAAAGGAGTTGAGAATTAACATTTTTATCTTCCTATGGGCTCTGCAACTCAAAGCAATGTGCTTAAAATGGCTCACAAGCCTGATGGTCAAATATTTTAAACAATAATAAGACAACATGGTATTTTATTTAAACCTGTAGCTGTTTGCATAGAATCATTTTTCTATAAAACAACCTAGCTTTTTTCCTTATCCACAGTCATTAGCATATTTTTGTATATATATTGTATTTTGTACATATATTGTAACTGCATCTACAAATACAGCTTTCACTATTAAACTTTTCGATACAATTTAATTGAAAAACACATTCTACCAGAGTACTCTCAAGTGGTAAAATGCTTTAAGAATATTTGATTCTGAGTAAGAAATCATCCAGCGAAACACTATTTTTCAGTACAGAAAGCCCATACTTGGAATGTGAAGTTGTAGCTTGCATTCACCTATTATCATTTTCAAGTTTACAACTGAGGCTCATGATCCTTTACCAGATGTCTGTACAAAATAAAAAAAATAAAAATACACAGTTCTTTCAAAAGTTAATTGTTAATCTTAGCTTCAGCAGAGAAATTAGTACATTAGAAAATACTTAAACAAAAAGATTTAAAAAAATATTTTTAACAAAAAATATTCTACACAAGTTAAGCCTTCTGTGGATCCTTTGCAAGGTTACTCCGCAGTTCCAAACTGACAGGCCAGTGAGAAATCTTTAATAAGAATACACCTGATATTTAAACAGATGGAAAAGATGTCATTAAATTAAAAGATGTCATAAAGCACCAAAAAAAACTTTCTCTGAATAAAAAAACCTACACCTTTAAAATTAAAAGACAAAATTCAAATTAGCTGAGACTATATTTTTTATACATTTCTAGCTATCTTTTTTAAAAAGCACTAACCAAACTGGCAAACAGAAATCAATCATCTCTGTTTCTGTTTATCCGACGTTCTTAAAGGACTTTGAGGACATGGCTACTTTGGTGTTGGAGCATACATAAATTGCATTATTTATTCTTTTTCCAAAATAAAACTTAAGAATATAGAAACAATCTTTTAATTTTGAGTGTGTGACCTACCCAGGTAAAGCATAAAATTATTACCGTGTGCTATTTTACCTGTAGCACTCTCCACTCTGGTCTACGTGTAGTTAAGCTACATTAAACACTTCATAAATGGGGGGGAAATGTAAACTCAAAATTAATAATTTCAAAAAAAAAAAATTCTGGTATTCTTTTTTATTTGCTACTCCACTGGAATTATAACATGCAAGGGAATCCATCTTAGCAACCTGACACCCAGTTTCAGACTTGGACTTGTTCTCATTTTGGACATCCACAGCATTCTTACTAAGACATCTCCTATCAAATGTCAGATATCGAAGACAAAAGGATTTTAAAACCAGAACAAGACTCAACAGATAACTAAAGCTCTCTGTGCTCCCAGTTATTCTGCTTTCATTCTCAGTTATTCTGCTTTCATTCTCATTAGGTCCATTACAAGTGCTTCAATGATATTCTAGAAAAGAATTTTTAGTAGAAAGGATTAGCAATTTGAGGGAGGGGGAGTGAAGTGGGAAGGAGGGAATGGAAATTTTCTCTGAGCTTCTCTGAGAATTAAACTATTTAGAAGTTGTCTGTGAACACCAGAATATATACCCATTGAATATTGCAGAAAGTTTGGTATGACAGGAGAATGAGCAGAAAAGGAATGTTTGACATATAAGCAAATATTTGTGACATGAAAATTTAGCTGATATAAGGCTTTTAGGTCTGTAAACTTAAAATGCAGACATCATGGTTCGTCTTTTTAAAAATTATGTTCAATTTTCCACGCATATTAAAATTTCTAATTAACTTGAACAGTACGGTCTTTTTTAATCGGCACCATGATAAATGGCACACCTGCTTGACTGGGATGACTGCCAGGGATCAGATAAAATGGGGTGAATCTCAATGACATTTTATAAAAAATGGGTAAATGACGCATGCTAGCCAATTCTTCTAGCATGCTATTCCTTGTAGCCTTGTGGCATCTATTTCCACCTGTGAACCCCTTTGTCCACTTCTTGCAGCTTTCTGCTTCCCCATGAACATTACAAAAACCATATACTCATACTACAGTTTACTATTTAAAACTTCTCCTTTCTTACTTTATAACTAAATCAAATTAAAAATTATCACTACATCTAATATTCCTCTAACAAAAAGAATGGTGTAATCACATGGAATGAGTGGAGCTGTACGACAAGGAAAAGAATTTCTCCTTGCTCTTTAACCATGAAGCTGAGGAGCAGCAGTATGTCACCAAAAGCAGCACTAATAACCTGCTGAAGCCAATTCTGCTAAAGCACTGAATAAGTCAGCAGAATTTCTTGATAATTGAAAAATTACGCTTCGGAGATTTCTCTATACTTATCAATAAAGAAATCACTTGGTTCCTCCAGCAGGAAGAGGAGAAAATTTCGGTGCATACAGATTCCACACAACACTAGTAGGTTTTTATTAATGTTTCTGTAATTCTGAGGCAAGCCACATAATTCTGATGAGTTTTCAGATGTCACTTTATTCATAAAATAAATAAGTCCAGTGGTACTACTGTGCCTCTTCCTTCCCCTTACAAAAAAAATCTCATGGAAACACAACATGCCTGTGAGAGTTATGCAGATTCCAAAACATAATAATGTCTCTGCAAAGTCATAATGACTTTCTACAAAATAAATTGGCTAAAGGTCCTTGCACACAACTGTCATCAATCTGCTATGTCACAGTATGCAGATACTCCTAACCATTTTGTCCATGTTTCTGATTCAAAACTGATACTACTTGTTAGCCTAATGAAACAGTCGGAGATACAGGGGAAAAAAAAAAAATCCTTTTGAATTTTATAATACAAGACAAATATACATCCATTTTTCTTACATTTTCAATTTCACAACTGCTATACGCTTCATTCACTTTCGAGTCAAGCTACAGCAACTCTGCCTGCAACAGTCCCCGAGCAGCTTTTCAGAGCCACCTTCAAATCACTGATCATCTACCTGGTCACTCCACAGCAAAAGCTGCAAAAGGGAATACACTTTACAGAAAAGTATTAGTTACGAATAAACTACCAATAGAATTGTCAATTAACTAGAATGTAAAACACCTCCAGACATGAGCATACAGTCATTCCTAACTTCACAGAACCAGCATCTTCACTGGCTTAGATTTTAACCCAACCCACAGCACAAGCCCTTCCTCTGATGGTGACAGCCCTCACCCTCAGACTACAAAGTAATTTTCACATCCGGACAACTGTCGGGTTTTACAGACATGGGCTCATAAATCTCTGTACAAATACTGCAGATTCTTTAAACGTACACAGCCTTCAGAAAAAGATTCAGAAGTTACCAGCACAAGTAAACACTTTTTTTAAAAGGAAACAATTATTCTTCTCTCTCCTTACAATTCCCTAAAAGAGATGGGACTATTCTTCTTTTAAAACAGTATACCACTCCTGTTCTATATTTTCATGAATTTGTTTCATCTTGCTTGCCAGTTTCTGTATTTTTCTATTTTTATTTGACAACCTCCTCAATAGTCCTGTCTCATCTCAGTATACACTCTTTCATGACATCTTAATTATCAGAGTTCAATATAAAAATTATTTACTTTAACACTGGTTGCTGATTTATTTAAGACATCCCAGAATAAGTTTTAAATCCAAAGTGGGAGGTACAGATGTTTTCAAATGCACAGAGGTTTAACAACATTCAATAAAATATACAAGAATTTAATGTGTCTGCCACTAACAGAAGTATTTTCATCATATTTTTACTAACTCACAAGACAAAATTAATCTCTATTACTGCATAGAAGTCTCTGAAGAAAGGATCACATCACAAATTCAGCTGAAGATCTCTATACCAAACCCAGTATTTTATTGGGTAACCTCCCTGGATTTAAGTTTAAAACAAACAAATAAAACACAAAAAAACCCTAAAACCTGCTTAAAAAAACTATTTTGCTTAAAAATCAGAATTGAAATTTGGATCTCCCTTGTTATGGGTAGAAGAAAAGTATATTAAGAAT